AGTAGCTTACATGATGAAAGTTGTGCTAGCTCCTGGTAAATGTGATAGTTGGGCATGATGAAGCCCACAGTTAGCTCATCGGAGCTACAGCAGATCTCAGCCTCCTCACACAGCAGGCCAAAACAGGAAAGCGAGGTTAGAACCGCATCCAGATCCACGCTCCACAAATACATAAAAAAGACCACTTCCATTTTAATATGCGCCTGTTTGCATATGGCAATTTGGCTACCCACATGGGCATAGTCTTTGTGTCGCTGGAGAAATGTGTTGCGGCAAATCAGTATTTCGCGCAGCCACTTAAGTACATCCGTATAGTTCGCTATCTGATGTTGTATAAGTTTCTGAGAGATGGAGAACAGGACCTGTGAGCTGACATCCCAGAATGTGTTTATGGGTGCTTCTGGATTCCAAACTTCGATTTTTTCAGGGGCATGCAGTGCAAGTAAAGCTTCCATGGCCTCTTGAGCCACATCTGGCAGGGTCGTTTGATGCACCAGGCTTACCAGGCCATTAATAAGTTCCAGTGTTGAGCTTTGCACCTCGTGCGCTACTTTGCCCTGCGTCTGGAAAAGAGGGTGTTGTAATTTAGTTCAGGTTTACAAAGTTTTATGGTTGTGATTACATTCAATAGCAGCGTAGGATCCGCGTGTATGAGGCGCACCAAGAGCAGCAATAGCATCTTATGAGCTGGTCCTTCCTCGGAACGTGTCAGACCTTTTTGTGTGTCCTTGGACTTGAGCGTTAAAGATGTTATGTAGCGTAGTGGTGTGTGCGCTATGTAGCCCTGAGTGGCTTTATTCAGTGTATCCGTGAAGAGAGCGCGTAGTTCAGCGGAACGATAGTGCACGACATCGGTCTGCGGCCACCAGGGAAGACGCGGCTGGTTGACAATGCGAAACGGGTTCTTATTTTGTAGTCGAAAGTCCACATAAATGTGCGCTAGGCTATAAATTAGTTTAACGCATAAAAATATTTAAATTTATATATAATTGTACTGTTTACTCACCGCAACAAAGAGCACACAATAACGAAATGATAGGCCTGCGGTGAGGAGAGGTTCAAGCACACTTTCAGTGCCTCTATGTTGTGTGGACTGATACGGAAACACGAGACCCAGCAGTCAATCATTAGTTCAATATCTGCATAATTGTAGCCCTGACCGCGTGAAAAAGGCTTCACGGGATTAAAGAGCAGTGCCTTAAGATCGTTGATGAAATATTGCACCAATTTGAATACCACATTGTTGGAGTCATTGATATTGATGTATGTGGATGCTTTGCAGAGTTTTACGCAAGCTATAGCCGAAGATTCGGTCACCTGTTTCGATGGGGAATGTGGGCCCAGACCACGCTTGATGCTTTCAATGAATTGCCTAGCCGAAAAGTCTTTGTCGCGTGACGTGGATTGTGTGGACTTCGAGGGTACCTTCTCCTTTTCCTTCTCCTTCTCCGATTGTTGCAACTCGTTGACAGTGGCCTCCAAGCTTGAGGGATTTAGTATCAGCAAGAGCATTTGCAGGGGCCAAACTAACGTTTTGCTCTTTTTGTTCTCAGTTTTAAAGTACTCAACAAAGTCCAGCAGTGGCTCCCAGCAGCTGAAATGGAAGTTTTTTAATATTTGAGTTTTATAACTGTCTAGCTTGTAGCTCACGTTGATATATCGCGATTAGTGCCCCGCTGTAAGTCCTGAAATTCTTGCGGATGATATTCAATCCAATTCCAAATGGCTTTTTCTAAAGAGTAAAGCAAAATGAGCGGCGGAGCGCGTTTTGACCGAAATTTGGTAATTGTTTCTGAAAAAGAATTAATAAATTAATAACAATTCGCACACAATTGCATTGCTGTTATACCCTGTAATAGTTTGGTCAGCTTTATCATGTCCATGTCAATGTGCTGTATCAATTCAATATCGTTGTAATCGGGATTCTCCTCGGAGCATGATGTTAGCTCCTGTATGCGCGCTGATATGCGATTGAAGACAGCCGAGAAGTGATTCTGGGAGAGTGCAAATAACACCTTGGAGGCTAGCGCCTTTAATTGAGCTGCATTTGGATTGTTATCGCTCTGCACATCTACAAACTGAGAAATTTCGCGTAGCAAGAGTTTAACATTCATGGCCTCCTCAAATCGTGCCGTATCTTTTGTTTGATTTGTTAGGCAACGCTCCAGCGTGGTCAATATGATGACCAGAGATTCAAAGTAGCAGCGTTCCGGCTCATGACGATTCTGTAGCGCCTGTAATTATAAATTATAATTAGCATTATCCTTTACTACTATCCATTACTAGCCTCGTTGACGCGCTGCAGCATTTTTGTCAGTCCGGAGATGACCAGGGAGAAGCGATACCGGGAGATGTGTATGAGACAGGCCACCAACTGATCCTGGCTCATACGCGCCTGAGTGCCATACGCTCCAATTTTGCTAGGCAGCTGCAGATAAAACAAGTTTCATTATTTAACTCTATAGAATATGCAGTGAAAGTCTAACACCTCTTTATTTTATATTATTTAATTCGTTTTTATTTTTTATCAACATGTGTTTATTTTAAAAATAGTTTCAATTAACATTGCAACTTGCAACTCGGAATTGTATTACTGAAACGAGAAACATTCGTGTAAGGAGTTGCACGTCTCGGCACTTCATTCAACAAACCGCAGCTCGGCATTTCATGAATGAAGCCTCGCCGGCCCCACTGCCACCCAAGCCCCACCCTTGACACCGACACCCACACCAAAACAACGCCAGCAGCAGGTACATTTTTTCACTTTGCTCGTAAGCAGTGCGACGCAACATATTGAAAACGCTGTAAAACATTTACCTGATCTTCGAATCTAGTCAGAAGACCAGTCGCCCATTCTCCAGGCTTTTGGGTAGCCATTTTGCGTTTATTTCACAAATTATATTCCTTTTTCACTGCATTTTATTTAATTTAAATACGACAAAACTCGGCACTATATAACTGTTCAACCGATGGTCGAGGTTGCATCGAAAGAGAACTGCGTAGGTGTGGATGAATGATAAAAACAGGTTGGGTGGAAGCGAGTACACGATTGCTCTCTCTGCGTAGGTTTTGCTAACATTCAATTAAACTAAAAACATCAATACAATTCCATAAGCAACCAAAACATTAAATTTTTCGGCCAACATGCTTCTAAAACAATGTTAAGCGGCTAAATATATTTTTTAAGTAGCATTCCAACGAGAAACTTTTTATTTGTGACGTCACATTTTCCATGCTTATGTACCAAAAAGATAACCTACGCAGTAACAAACATTCCACAGTTTGGCGATTATTCGTATCGATACTTGTGCTCTTGCAGTGGGTTCTGCGGGCTTTGAATTTAAATTTAATAATAGGCTAAATCAGTCCTAATGTGTAATACATATACTTTAAAACCCTCTTTTCTAATAAATGTTTGTGCAGTATGTGAAAAAATAAGAGAAGTTGCACAAAAATCAGACAAATTGCAAGTATCGAGTATTTTCGATAAATTCACTTATCGCCTACGTATTTACAGTGCTGCCAAACTGCAAGTGTTGCCAAATTCGTAAGATATCTCCCTTCACAAAGAACGTTATAAAATTTAAAAATACGACAAGTTACAGTTTTCTGTTGTAAGTATTGGTAGTTGTAGTTTATTAAATATTTCTTTTTAAGCATAACAAATCGTTGCTGTTTTTTTTTTAATTTATTGAATTTGTCTGGTAGTGTATGTTACTTTTTGCAGCTGTCGTGTCTATCTCTGTGTGGGTCGTGCAAATACATAATACGTATTTTCAAGTTATATAATACTAATTAAGTATATACTATAATATTTTGTAAATACATATTCAGCATGTCGAGCGTATATACGTAATTATAAATCGATCTCATAGTGTCTCGAAGTTGCATTCTAATTTAATCATTCAACTTTTCATTTTCTAATATTGTACTGTATAAAGTTTAGTTTAGCTATCTAAAAAACTCATGTACAGTCGAAATATACATATTGAAAACTTGCGTTATTTTTCAAATAACAGCGCCTTAGATAACAAAAAAGAGTTATTAACATATATATTTATTTTTAATATTTCATATGTTCGGGTTTGTTGGCCGTTTGGGAAGTTTGTTTCACTTAAATTGTTGATTTTATTAATTGATTGAAACAAATATGTGCTAAGTAAATATCAAAGTTGGAAAGTTACAAAAAATTATTGAAATTGTTATACAATTATTGTTGTGAGCCTTGCAAAATGTATGCTTTTCCCTTTTGATTAGTTTTGCATTGAATATTGTTAAATGCAGTTATTGATATTAGAAAACTTACGTATTGATTTTCACTTGCATTTAATAGGTGTATATGTGGTTAGATAGATTGGAGTTTTTGTCAATATTTTTATTTTGTTTCGTGTATAAAGCCTTGGTATATATAGATGCTTAGATATGGTTTTTGCATTTTTTCTATTTGATTTGCGGCTTAAGTAACTCCTAGTTAGATTTTCTCTATAACTGTTATTAGTTGTATATGTATGCATATCTGAAATAAAATGAATTTTAGAAAATACTCCCAAACTGTGATGTTAAATGAAGTATGATAGTCGTTGTAAATGATCTATGTGTATATATCATTAAATTTCTTTAGTTTTGATACAATACTTTTCCTTTTCGTAATTTGCGTTGTTTAATTTTTCGATTTTCGCTTAAGAACTAAACGGTTTACTTGAAATTCAATTTCAATGCAGTGCGGCAGCCCTGCCGTTGAGCAGGCCTGGCAACCCTAAGCAAGAGTCGTTACGAATACTTAAAATTTAGTGCTAGAATTTTGCGTTCTCTCAACTAGTAATAAAGACTAAATTTAACAATTCCTTTGGGGGCTTCAGAGACTTTTTGGGTTTTCCAATTACACTTTGTTCTTTATAATATAATATAAATATATATATATATATATATATATATATCTGTATCTATCTGTATATATATATATACATATATATATATTTGTTTTATTATGTTATGCTTAGGTTCCTAACTTAGATCGTCCACACCTGCACCTTCTCAGCCACAACGCACCAGCTAGCGCGCTCGTAGTAGGAGCTAACAATATGCAGACTGGCCACATGATGATTGATCAGGGCGTCCAGCTCGCCCTCGCGGTATACGTGGTAGTAGCGATGATGGGTAGTGGAGCCGCCCTGCGACGGGCTGTCCAGCGAGGTGTTTGAGCTATTTGAGTGCTCCAGCGATTCGGTGGAGGTGCGCTGTTGCAGCGCCTGCTGCTGAGTTGGCTGCTGCGAGGGCGGCGTTTCCGTGGAGCTGGACGCACTGGAGGTCACCGATTTGATGACACTGAAGTTGCGCCTGCGCTGCCCATACTCGTGCATGCCCTCGCCCAGTTGATCGCCGCCACGTGCCTCCAGCGCCTCGGCATCCTCGTCCTCCTCTGGTATGGCTGCAGGATGAAAACCAACTAGATTAAGGCTTAGAATACTAAATTTATGTTAAGTTGTTCACTCACGATCTTCATCATCGCGCACATCGCTGTCGCCATCGTCCTGCAGCAAGTAGGCCGTCTCCGGATTGAGATTATAGTGACGATTGCGTTTGTAGTTGAATTTCGAGATCTTGCAGTGCTCGTAGATGCCCAGCGTGTAGCTTCGCTCGTTTTCCTCGTCTTCTTCCTCGCCCTCCTGCTCCTCGTGTATGGTGAAGCTGCGCGTTTGGGATGAAAGCGATGAGGTGGACGACGATATGGGCGACTGCTGCAAACTGGGCTGGGTCGAAAGATTGGCCAGCATCAGACGACGCTCACGCAGCTCATCCCGTAATGCACTCAAATCACCATTGGAGCGCTTCTTGGAGCCGCTGCCCGCGCTGCTGCCGCTCAAGTACTCGCTTATATCACCAATGCTGTCCAAGCTACGACACTCCGCACGATTGCTCTTATCGTCTAGCTCGCGCTGTAACTGCGCCGTCAGCTGCTCAGCGAACTCGGCGCAATCGTGCGGCTGCTGCTCCTGTGCCTGGCCAGCCTCACGCTTCTTTGGCAGCAGCGGCGCGCTGTCCGCATTGAGTATGATATCATTTTCGTTGGGCGTGGCATTGTTGATCTGTAGCTCGCCGTTGTGGTACTGCTTCTGGTTGATGGTAATAAGCTGGGCCAGCGCCGCGTCCGATTCGTCACTGGACTTGCCGGTGCCAGTGCTCGGGGCCGAGAGCAGCTGGGCCGATCGCGGAGCACTGATCACACTGTCAATGGAGTCCGGCGAGGAGGGCTCACTGGAGTCGCTGTCCAGATCATCGGTGGCCGGATTGAACAGCTCGAGCGAGAGCAGCTTCGTGGCACTGGTGCTGCTGCTGCTTGCAACACCCGAACCGGATGCTCGTCGAACAATGGGAAAACTCTGGCGTTGCAGCTGCAGCGATTGCTGCTTGCGAAACTTGGGAATGGGCGGCATTTCACGTATGGCTTGGCGTGTGATCTTGGGTATCGGTGGCTGCGGCTTGTCCTGCACTTGCAGCTGCTGCTGCTTGATGTGCGCCTCGTCGAAGTTAAATCGCGCTGGCTTGGCGACAGGCGTTAAAATGGCCATGGCTGCCGTCACAGAAGCCATCGATTGGGGCGGCGAGGTGACCGCGGCTTGGATGGCGGCTGGCGAGTGGGCAGGTGTCGGCGGGCAGGGCATGATGAGCGGTGACGTTGGCACGGAGTGTGTGGGCGGCAAACGTGTCAAACAGCCGGACGGGGCAGCTGCTGCTGGATTAGTCATAGCTGCCAAAGCCGCCTGGGCATTTCCATTGCTGGAGCTCGAGTTGCTTGAACTTGAGTTCGAGTGCTGATGCTGTTGCTGATAGTTAAGCTGCTGCTGATGCTGCTCCGGCTTGGGTATGAAGATGACCGAGGCAAAGCTGTCCTCAGACTCAATGCTCGTATCCGACTGCAGGCTGCTGTCCTTCGACGAATCGGAGCCGGACTCGCGCGAATGCCGGCGCGCGTTGCTCTGTTCGCTTTCGGCGCACGCAACGCAATCTTGCTGATAGGCGCTGCAGTGGCAGATGTTGGGCGCACTGCACTCCACGACGCTGCAGTAGCTGACTGGACCAGTTGTCGTGCTCGACAGCAGCAAATGTGTCGGGAACAGGCTGCCCGCGGTGCTCGTATGATGATGATGATGGTGATGATGCTGATGCTGCTGCTGGAGGCTCTGCGAAGCGGGCGTCATGGGTTGCTTGTTGTTGTTGTTTGTCTGCTGCGGATTGACGGCGACGCTTGCCGACGTCTGGCTTGTTGGCGTAATTTTTATGTTTTGCATGAGTTTTGTGATGCCCGTCTTAGTCACGCGCTCCAGGCTGCCCGTCGAACTCTTGATCTTGGTAGTGAAGCCCTCGCGTATAACCTGCAGTCGCTTGGAGAACAGCGCCGAGCGGCAAAGGAAGGCCTCGTTCAGCGAGGTCTGCTTCTGTATGCGTTTGCGCACCCGTTCCTTGTCGCGCAGTCGATTGCCCGTCATCAGCTCCTCATTCAGAGAGCTTTGCTTGCGTAGAAAGCTGGGCATATTGTTGGCTGGCGCCGTCCCAGCCGCTGAAGATGATATTGAGGAGACGCTGGCAGGCTTCTGAAAGCGCATGCAGAGGCTGCTGCTGACAGCCCCATTGGCTCCGTTGTAGTTGCTGAGCATATGAAAGGTGGCGTCGGCGTCAGGCGCCGTTTCTCCCAGCTGCGAGAGGTCGTCCTCGCACAGCGACTGCTTCTGCTTGATTAGCTTGGGTCGGCGGCTAAGTGTGTTGCCCGCGCTGGCGGTTGTCGTGGGCGAATGACGACCATTGAGCTGGGCATCGGGAGCACTGAGCAGCAGAGCAGCTGCGGCGCTGGCCTTGGTCTCGGCAGGCACCAGTGGACCACCCAGACTGGGCACACTTGAGCGTGAGCGTACGATTTGACGTGGCGGCGGCTGCAGTATGCTGCCCAAGCTGCGTGATTTGAGGCCGGCGGAGAGTGGCGGATCGGGGAAGTCCTCGAAGTCTTCGAGGCGACGCAGCTCAATGGGCAGATCCTTGGCATCCTCGTAGTCTAGGCTGCTGTCGTTCTTAGTGTCCTTGGAGGTCCAAGAATCAAGGAACCAGGCATGACGACGTCCGCTAGCCAATTTCTGTAAATGAAAATTAATTAGCAATGCTTAAGCACATCATGATCTAGTGCTCCACTCACTTGTATGGCGCGCCGCACAAAGCTATAGCAGGACTCGCCAGGCGAAGATGAGCTGAGGCTTGAGCTGTCGCCATCGCCAGCTGAGCGACTGGAATTGGTCGAATCCTCCGTGTAAGCATGATAGGGCGGCAGAAAGTCTCCATCGTCTTCCTCGTCGGAGTACGAGTAGGAGTAGGTGCGATTCTTGGGCGGCTGCCAAGGTATCAGCACATCCTGCGACTCGAAGCGTCGATGGCGCTGCTCCAGAGCCCAAACAGTAATTACCACACGTCCACCTACGCGCAGAATGCGGGCCAGTTCCCTCAGCGCTCTGACTCGACGTTCCGTGGTAGCAAAGTGATGTACTACAGCCAGCGAGAGCACCGCGTCGAAGCTATCATCGCGAAACGGCAGCTCCAGATTGTCGCACAGCGCCACCTGTGGGCCAAAGAGCACAACGTGATTACGACTAACTCAGTGCCGAGGGAAATACGAGTCAAAGTTGCTGCACGCCGCAAGCTGCTCAGCCAATTAAATTACGCAAAAGACGAAGCCAGCAGCTTCTCTGCCATTCCTGTTACAGATCCCCCGAGTAACCAGCTCCACAGCCACCTACACAGCAGCAACTGTGCCTCGGCAGCTGTGCAAGCTGCATAACTGCAACTAAGCAAAGCTGACCGCTGTTTAAGTAACCAAGCAAAGGAATTCCTGAGCTTCTGCTGCTATTGCATTTTTACAGTTTCCTTTTATTAATTTCACTTGAGAATGTTAGAGAAGAAGAGTAGAACGTTTACGTTATGCCAAACGAAAGCCTGTGAGCGACTAGAAATGCAATAAATTCCAAAGGCTTAGAACAATTTTAGGGCTTTGCAATTAAGACTGAAAGGCAGTTTGCCTTGTAGACTTTTAACTGAATGCCTTAGCATATATAAGAACTAAGAAATCTAACTCAAGTTTTTAAAAGTGTTTTGCTTAAATAGATAAACCAAGCTGCATAAGCATAAATAGTTTGAGAATCCTTTATAATCCTATAATATATAATTATATCTACTGCATTCAAATATTGCCAAAATACCAATTTAGTATATCAAAATAGACTTTAAATGATATTTATGTATTATAATTTTGGAACTATATAAGAAGAGAGTTTTTAACGTTTAAATTATAATAAATATCTAGTCTTGATATTTATAGACAACTATAAAGCCAGTTTATTCATTTAAAAGTCAACATATTTAATGGCATATCAATTTCTTTGGCTCTATTTTTGTTTGTGTTATGTTGATTAAACCAAAAAGTACTTTTCCTCCACTAATACACAGAATAATAAATATATATATATATATATATATATATATATATATATATATATAAATGTATAATAGTATAATAAATATTGTATAATAAATGAGTGGAATTGCATTAGATAGTCTTTATATGTGAAAGCTTGTATCTACTTTCAACAATGTCTCAAATCTTAATTAGAAATGAAATGAAAACATACTTTGAACTTTCATAGAAAGTGCTTTAATGCAAGTTGCATATTTGCCAAAATGTTAGCTGGAAGTTTTCGGTAGACAACAAGACTTTGCAATTAACTGAATTTTTGTTCAGATGGGCGAAAACAAAGTTAACACGCTCGCCCCATGAAAATTGTTCGTTGGTTTACTCAATTTGCCATTGAAGTGCCAGCAAAAACACATAGACTCACACTCATACATATTAATATAGCACACACACATACACACGCTTACATATGCTGTTCGGTTAGCCCATCTGCATTGAGTTGGTCTTGTTTTGGTTCGTTTCAATTGAAAAAGTTCGTTTAAAAAATGTGTTCCAGTAAACTGACCTTACCCAACACATAGTGCAGGTGGTGCAGGTGGTGCAAGTGTGTGTGTATGTGCATGGTTGTTTATTTTATTTTCATACCCTGAACCCATTGAAAATGGGAAATCAGAGTTTGATAAAATGTATGTAACAGGCAGTAGAGGCAAGCCAGACCCCGTAAAGTAATTCATTTCTTGATCAGGCAAGATGAGGTGAGTTGATCTAGCCATGCCGTCTGTCTGTCTGTCCATTTGAGTTTCTGTCCACCCAAGCGCAACTTGATATGATTAGAATAGCAAGAGTTAAGGGTATCTCCTAGTCAGGACTGCCGACTACCGCACTCGTATCTGTTTTTATATAGACACGCATCATTTATATTCATTCCCATGTCACGGTCAGCGTTAAAAACGTCAATTAACTTTGATCAAAAGGGAAATAAACAAATCGTGTACAAATAGAATTCGCAGCTGGATGAGCGTAATGTAATTGACATTTTCACACGTATCTGAGCTCAACTATGTAACGATTCCTTTTCAATTTTGCGTAAAATGGAATTTCGAATAAACTAACGTCGATTACATATAATGAATTAATGAAACATGTTGCTAAACTAATATCAATGCGCCTGATGCTCCCATGCTCTGCACGGATGGGTAACCAGGCAGCTGAAATGTCTAATAATTTGGACAATCTCTGGGTGTACACACATATATCTCTCTGCTCTGCCGTTGCACCTGCCACAAATATAATTTGTTGGTTGCAATAATGCCAGAAATCGTTCGGTCTGTTTGTATGCGCTACTGCAACAGCCTTGACCCAGCAAGCAAAATGCCTCTCATTCCTCTATGTGTGCACTGTGGATCTGCAGCTATGGCAGCTGACCAGGTACTTGGGCATGTCATCCAAGGACCTATGCAACAGACGTTGCAGCTCAACTTGTGGCGAAACACTTTTCTTTTTTTTTAGCTGCAAAATATCAATTAAGTTAAGTGTTTGCTCTCAGAGTTGACAACTTCAGGTGCAAAGCTCATGGAAATGCAATGGAAAAAGGCTTTTCAGTTTTCCATGCAATAGAAAATGTAATAGAAGATTGTAGCTTGACTAGACTTTAAGGGAAAACAATTTATTATGGCAAAAGTGTAAGTAACTAGCGAACTTAATACTAAAATTCCTGAAACACTGCACATTCATTTTTAAGAGTTATAATGAATGATTAGCAACATTCAACTCACCCAACCGAAGTCTATCTCTTCCCTATATGCATAAACAATCTTTACTAAGCCACAATAATCCTTTCGCTAGCCTTTATGCATCGCTCTACACACTATATACATGAATATTTCTGCAGAAAACGAAAAAAATTAACCCGTTTTGCTGCCCACTTGTGGGCGTGTCGTTGTTTATGCAACGTTGCCATTTGTATAGAGCTGCACATAAAAGCGGCGCACATTCGCTTTCGACTTTAGTGCTTTGTGCAGCCAGCCAGCTTTCCACATGGAAAGTGTTTTCTCTTCGATTTTTATTCTTTTTTAAACACATGTTCCGCTGTCATGAATGCACGCGCCGACATTTCTCTATGCTCCTTACAAATTGTATTTATAGCAGTTGCCATATTTTACACACGCACACACACACATACACACTCCGTTTGCGGGTGTGTAATGTCACACTGGTCGTGCACATTACGCTTTAGAAACTTATGTTGACAAGTTTTCAATGCAGCTCCGTCTTAATGTTGCGAGCGTCAGGTGAAACATGTTACGCATACGCCACGTTGCACACTAATGGGGCCAAGCACAGCCAAGCAGCAGCGAGAAGCGAGCAAAAAAACATTCGCAAATATATAAAAATTTGTTTTAGCCTTCTTTGGCTGGCAGCTTATTTAAATGGCGCTTAAACGAACCACAGCGAACATGAAAAAGAACAGAGCAGGTGCAAGCCGTAGTGGCTGCGGCAGGTCGACTGGCACAAAGCTCAAAGACTTAGCCTGAAAAGCGAAGCGAAGAAGAAGACGAAACAGCAACCAGTCTCATTGCATTGGCTTGGTTCATCCTTTACTTTATTTTTATTTTCTGCGCCGCCTTTTCTTTTTATTTGCTGCCTTCTATTTTTATACCCCGATTCCATTGAAACTGGGAATTCAGGGTATATTGGTTGTATGGAATTGTATGTAACAGGCAGAAGGAGGCGTGGCAGATGCAATGAAGTATATATATTTCTGACCAGTGCGACGAGCTGAGTCGATCTAGCCATGTCTGTACCGATAAAAATCGATAATTTGACATCGTTTTTAAATTGTTTCTTGCATGCTACAAAAGATGGAAACATCCCAAGCAAGTCGGAGCGGAGTTTCCAAAAGTTCCAAAAGTTCCGCAAGTTCGAAAAACTGTGTTACAAGAGACATTTGCCATGGCACATGCCTTACCACGCTTAGAATGTGATCAAGTTCATCTAGAAGAAAATTTATTCAACCACGAATGCAGCCCCTGCGCAGTCGCTACGTGTGCGCGTGTTTATGTGTGTGTGTGTGCATATGTTGTTTGTTAAATATGTATTAAGGAATTGAATGATTGGCATGTAACTGCAGGGCTCGGGGTATCCCCTAGTCGGGCAGTCCCGACTAAAGCAGTCTTACTTGTTTCCTTTCAATGCGTCATTTCGGGCAGCAACAAAATTTATGAGTGCAGGCTGTGTGTACGTGTGTGTGCGTGTGTGTGCATGTGTTATTTGCTTAATGCCTGCTGCATAGCCTGCTCCACTTGGCAGTTTTTTGCTTTACAAAATTATAGTAAATCAGGCCATGCACGCGTCCTGAAATCAAAGTTGCCTGACAGCAGCTGAAACTTTTTGTACCAGCAGCAACAGCACCAGCAGCACCAGCAGCAGATATATATGTAAATATAGTTGAAGTTAAATTGGTTTTTCACATAGTTTTCGTTTTCGGTTTTATCTTTATTTTTCTTTTTTGCAAAATGGCAACACTAACAGTCGCAATCAAAGTATCAAACTGCATTCGAATGCAGGTCACGTGAGTCGCTTATGCCTTTTCCATGTTGTTCATTTTAGTTTATTTAACATACACGCAGACAGACATATTGCATATTATGCACTTTAAAAAAGTCAAATTCGACATATTTCAATTTAAATAATGCTCTTGGCGTGTGCAGCGTTCATGTAACTGCAGGCAGAAACATAGATAATATTATTTAAGCTTCGATTGGCAATTGGCATACTCTCTGTAATTTGATTTGAAAAGATTTAGCGGTAAGTCGCAGTGTCTTAAGTTGTTAGCCAGATCAGACTGCTGATATGATTATGTTTGGTATACATTTTCTAAGCATTAAATTAACTCAACTGCAAATAATCTGCAAAGTGAGATGTTGAATACATTGGATATATTTTCTCTAATATTCTATGATATTTCTTTATCTATATTCTAGAAACAATACAATATATCTATAAAATGCTTTAAATAGTATTAGAGCCGCCTCTGTCTGTCTGTAATTGTATATGATTTATTTTTAAGGATAAAACAAAAGTATGTAATCCTCTTATCTAACTGAGTTTCAGTCGTATACAGGAGAGGCGCGCTAAGAGAGGTGGCTAAGAGTGCACAAAGATCACCCTCAGGAGTCCTTTTCACATTCAAAGCGGATCAGGCTACTCACTTACTGCTTGACCCTCTCCTTATTCGAAAGCTAATTGAAGAATAAAGCAATTACACTTTTTTATAGAAACTTCGAGGATTCAAGGATTCCTGCAGGTCGAGCACTTTTAATTCATTAATATTAAATCTAATCGTATGTCTCAGCTTAATAAATGAATAATTCGTGCAGGGCTCTTCAGTGCGCGTGAAACTGTCCAATCAATAGCAGTTGCAATTTTTTCAAAAACGTGTACTTTTTTATGAATCGAACAAAAATATAATTGTCTCTAATGGATGACAATGAAATGTCAAGGACTTGACAATTGCAACAATCAACCCATCATAGACACATTGCACGTGGCACAGGTCTCCCGTCAAGGGATAATGGCAACGAGACTGGTTATTAAATAAATGAAACCATTTAGACTAAGTTGTGTGCACTTTGCTGCCTGCGCCTGTGCGCTATTGTGACGTGCAACCCTGGCTACCAGCACTTCCATTGAATAGTAACCCTAGGCGACGGCATCTACGTCCTCGTTGTTGTCCTCGCCATCATTACATGCGAACGCCAAGCCCCACGCAATGCCAGCGAATGCAATTTAAATGCGAAAAATGCCTGCAACAAAGCCTAGGGCTAGGAGTTAAGAGGGAGCTCCTGAGCATGATGATTGTGGAGCGGCGAATAGTATGCATTTCTGAGAAAATGCCAATTCTTGCCTGCAAATGGCACCATAAATAAGCGAAGCCAAGCGAAACGAAGCGCGTGTAATAGATTATTGCAAAAAGTATTGCATACCTCTGGGAGCTGGCAGTCGGGGAGCGAAATTTATTGTTCGCTGCTATAAAGAAAACGGAAATGTTGTGGACTTCGCAACAACAACAACAGCCATAGAGAGAACAACAACAAGATGTGCAACAACAATATTTAACAAGAACTGAACACAATGGAAATTAATTCAACGGAAACTAACTGCAAAGTTGTTGCATTTTTAAGTGCATGAAAAGAATTTGTAAATAAATTAATTATACTAGAAGATAATTAATGCAAAACTAATCTGATTAAAGATTTCGTTTATTATGCAGACAAATTGCATTTGAAAAACTTTTAATTGGTATTGGCAGCTCGTGTAAAATATAAATTAAATGAATTCGAAATCAAGATTCATTCAATTTGTGTTGTTTATAGAAATAAATCTCTATATTTTTATATTGCTCTTGATTAAAAAATAAATGAAAGCAATAAATTTGAACTTTTAAATTTTCACAGCTTTACAGACATACCAAGAAATATCACTGACTGCTGGACTGCTGGAGTGGAGCCACAGAGTCTCTAGTTGGCAATTCTCAGTTGGACTTGTTATCGATTTGAATGCACTTGACTGCAACAGAGCGCCTGCACTTTATTAGTTGCTCTCTAATGACCAAAACGCTGTTCGTTTTATGGCTCCATTGTTGGTCATTGCAATTATGGGGGCATTAAAGCTCAGCGCTGGCTAAAGCCGAGGGAACATGTGCAAATAATTTCAAATGATAAGCATAATTTATGCGCTGCAATAAAGGCGATGGCTTGGCCATGGCTAAAATGGGTCAATTGTATGGCCAAGAATATAAAAGAGAGAGAGAAGGAGCGAGATAAGAGGAGGACAAATGAACTATTGTTCGCATGAATACAAAAATGTTCATCTATCCAACTAGACACACCCCACGTTGTAACCCACTTTGAAGTAATTTAAGCACATCAATTGCAATTGCAATGCATTCATGAGGCCCACTCACCTCGCCTCCCTTCTCGTGCGCCACCTTGCTGAGACGATAGCAGCGATCGACGCCAATGGTGCATATGGCGGGATTGCACTCTGTTAAGTAACGCCCACTGCCGCAGCCGACGTCGCAGACCACTGAGCCCGGCTCCAGGTTGCCCAGAAACTGTGCCACTCGTGGTCGCACTGGTCCCGTTGGCTCCTCGCAGTGCTCGTAGACATCGTGGACGTAGGCACGTTCCAAAGCCGCCGAACGGCCGCTGGCATCACTTGATGCAGTTGTTGTTTTTGTTGATGCTGATGCGGATGCTGATGCTGATGCCGATGCCGATGCTGTTGAGGCTTTTGTTGCGGACTGCCGCGTCGGCTTTACTGTCTCTGCAGCAGCAGGCGCAGCTTCGTCTCTTGTTGTTGCTGTTGGTGCTGTAGTTGATGCGCCTATTGTTGTGGGCGAAATAACCGTGGGCGCCAAATTAGCCGTTTGTGTGATGCTAGACGCTGCATTTGTCGCAGTTGTTGTTGTCAATTGTTTGGTCATTGCTGCTGCTGTGACTGCTGCTGTTGTTGCTGTTGCTTCTGTTGTGCAGTTTTTATATGTCGTCGACAGACAAGTCTCATCTACGATAAAGAACAAGATAGATGATGGAAATGAACATTTGCTGTAACTCTGAAGACTTTTTATCTTTTAAGATTATATTTTAATATGAATTTATATATGTATATATATTTATATATATATATATATTATATATAGAAATTGTATTTTTTAATGAATAGCTTTTAGACAATACTAATTTATTCCATATAAAATCGATTACTAACTTTTGTATATATTTCTTCTAGTTACAAGACCTTACGCCCTTTGGCCGAATTGGATGTGCTGATGTTAGTAGAATCCTTAATCATATACGCATATCACACATAGTCATATTTTCATAATATACATCAAATACATCGTTCAGATGAAATAATTCTAAGCCTACCATAATTTCTTCAACATTCATCATAATCAGTTCAATCATAGATAAGGAAAGGAAAGTCGTATACTTTCCAAGATATATATATACTGAATTGGCTAAAAATGTGCACAATATGCATGGTTATTTATAATGTGCCAACAATTTGTATAATTAATGCAATTTGGGTCCCTTAATAGGAGCCATAAACTCAAAACTTTCGCCCCTATTGCATGCTTAACAAAATTTACAATTTCACATTTGTGTGTGTGGGTGTTGCGGTTGTTATTGCTTCTGTTATTGCGTTGTTGTTGCTCAATGCATGACATCAAGTCGTAAAATCGTTACACCAACGTCAGCAGCCCCACAAACACTCGCATCTACATATGCAAACGCGTTGTCAACACCGTCATTGGGCAACTGCATACCGGAAATGTAGAGCTGGCATGAGTTTGCATTGTTGTTGACATTTTATAACTGTACTTCCGGTGCCAGTTACCGACGCCGCTGGCCAAAGCGCATGCATGGAAACTTGAACGCCCTCAGCTACCGAGAAACTGTCAGCGTAATAAATTGCATTTAAGAAGGGGAACAGCAAATAGGCAGGAAACGACAGCGAGTCGGAGGCAGGACATGGAGGGACGGTGGCTGCTAGCGCTGCTAGTGCGAGCGAGTGCCAAAGCGCATTAGCGCTGTTAAATGAAATTATAATTGAAATCAGATTAAAGGCAAATATAATGGCAGCAATGACGCAGCAGCAGAGGGCTGGCCCTCCTTCAGCAGAGCACAAAGAATAAAGCATATCGGAGCCTGTGTGCGTGAATGGGTGTTAATGAGTGCATGTGCGGGTGTTAATAAGCGCAGCAAATGAGCTGTGCATGTATTTTATGGCGTTTTAATTCAGTTAGCCGATGCGACAAAGGGCAACTCTATAACACGGCAGCCTTAACTCATTTTACACGCATTGAAAACAAACAAATTATGTTGTTGAGTGCGCATTACGAAAGTTTAAGGGCTTAACTATTCAAGTACTTTGCGAACTTTTCATGCCTGTAATAAATTTAGTGGCTAAACTTTAATACAACTGATTACCAGCCAAGTAATTCATTTAACACAACTTTCACCAGGAGCAAACTAAATCAATAATGAAAAATGTGCTGACGGTCTTTCTATATATATATATATATATATATATATATATATATACAAAATTGTTGCTGCTAAGTTTGCTGGAATATGTAGACTTAGCTTAATGTAATTTATAATTGACGATTTTTATTATTAAAACTTGTTGTTTACTTGGGCTAACAACTAACCAATCGATAACAGCTAGCTAAAAGTTATTCAGCTTTATGAATTAGTTGTCAATGCAGAGGACAACAAAGTGAATTCTATTTGCATTGAGTTTCTATTGATTAATCCAAAGCAATTACAAAAATTGTCAAAAATTGATGTAGCATGAATTTATATTAACACATTCTATATATTAATATTATTAATATATTATTATAATAATATTAATATTATTAATATTATATTAATATATTATTATTTCTATATTTCTGTTATATGAACATATTTCTTGCATTCATTTAACGTATTTTTCTCATTCAGCTTTTTCGACTTCTTTCATATTCTTGGGCTATCTCGGGCGCATCTGTAGATACATTTTGCCAGTTGACTTCAAATATTACGCATACGTCCTGAGGGCGCGCGCACATCATGCGTATGCATAATATTTTGTGGCTTGTGCCTAATTTAATGACTCGCGGCTGTTGTTGCTGCTGCTGGTGCTCACCTTTTGTTAGGCCGTTGGTGCGCTGATAATTCGCATTCCACAACGCCGTCGACGTCAGTTCCGTTGATAACATGCGTTGCGGGCTGAACGCAGAACGAGAAATGACTTTACGAGATTGCCAATGGGCAGAGTCCTGTTCCTGTTGCTGCTGCTGCTGTTGGTGATGGCGATGATGATGTCGAGTGGCGACGATGAGTGGGAAAGTAAAAACGACAACGACGTCGACGCGTCAGAAAATCAATGTGCATGCATAATTTAAAGTCAGTTGGGCAGACGGCACTTGGTTTTTGAATACGTCTCCGACTTTGACTTCGACTTCGACTTCGCTTCGGAATTGGTGTTGTGCTATTTTTAGACTTTCCAACCGGGACACATTTTATACGATAATTTGCTCAATTTTGTTTGGAAATCTATCATTATAGCAACTGCACGCCGTAATTGCTGTGCCACGCTTAGCTGTTGTTGCCGTTGTTGTTGTTGCTACCGTTGGCTGCTTTTGTTGTCGCTACTGCTGTGGCTGTGGCTGTGGCTGTGGCTGTGCCTGTGGACACGGACACGGACATGGACACGCGCTCGCTCACACACAAAATAGGATACACAAAATGCTTTTTACTGCTCCTGCTGCCTTTATGTTGCTGCCGTTGCTGTCAATGTGCCTGCCAAGCGACGGCCTGCCTCTGGCATATGACGTTTTCTTTGTGTGTTTCACTGTGTGAGTGTTTGTTTGTGTGTGTGTGTGTGTATGATTTTTGTTTCTGCTTGAGGCACTTTTCACTTGCACTTTTCGACGGCAACCCTTCACATTGAATTCTGGAATTTATTAATTGCAACTTTTATTTTCACGCACTATTTCTAGGGCACTGGCACTTGGCGCTTCAATTTCCAAACACAAACTCTCCCTATCTCTCTGTGTGTGTGTGTATATGTGTATATAGTGTGTGTGTTTCTGTTTGCGTGTGGGTCGGACTTGCCGCTGCCGTGTGTGTATGCCATGAGTTAACGTCGCGTACTGGCCGCAAAAGCACGCGCATATCCTTTTGTTCAAGGATGTTGTTGCCATGTGGATTGCATTCAGCAAGCTTTTGGCAATAACTTGACGAAAGCTTCAGCCAGCTACAGCTGTTCTCAGAGAGCGAAAGTGATTGTGGGAGAAAAAAGACAGCGGGAAACAGAAAAACTTAGCCAGCGAGCAGGCTCTATTAAAGATCCTTTTATATAGTTTACAGTAAACATAATTTGGAATTGTTACTGTAATTTAAAGAGCTTTATGAATGAATTAAGTTTAATTTTTGAATTATATACAGGAGTAATAAGAATCATGTCCAAATTATTAAAGCTTGCTTAATATTTAATAATATAATGTTAATTAAATTAAATGTTGAGATTTAGAAAAGAGCGTATTAAGCAGGAAGTGCTTAATGGAACAAAGGAAGATGAGATATATATATATAATAGAAATATATAAAATATATGGTATATAAATCAGTAAGCTAATATATATAAATATATAAAATATATGGTATATAAATCAGTAAGCTAAACATACAACTTATACAACTTATAGTTAGATTAGGTTTGTCAGTTAGCAAAAGTTTTATTATAGGTTAAATATGAAAGAGAATCAATAAAAATTGAATTTCATAAGTCGCCCATTTCAGTTAGTGCTGCTGCTGGCAGCCTAAAAATAGCCAAACTCTGGGCAATTAAAATGAAAAGCTTAATCGCTTTGTTTTTTTGCTCGCGTCGGACTGTCAAATTTCATGAATGAATCCCTTCAGGCAATTGAAGACGCACAGAAATAGAAATAAAAATAGAAACAAAAGCTGAAGCAGAAGCAGAAGCAGAAGTAGAAGCAGAAGCTTCGTCAAGTTGGCAGCAGGGGCTCTGAGCTAACCAAATTGTCGCTGAACACTAGAACAGACCAAAAAATAGAACACAATTGTGAAATTTGCGCAGCGCAAACTCTACACCAAGTCGCACACACACACCCATACACACACTCGCACACATGCCACAGGACTTTGTTCGCCTGATTATTTTTGATGAATGAAAAGCTTTTTGTTCGTCCTGCCGCTATCAACGCCGCGTCCCTAAGCCAAAGAGGGGATTGTTTTTTGTGTAGTACCATAAAATAAGGGTCGACTGACGCTGACGCTAACGTTGTCTTCTGAATGTATATCTGTGTGAGTGTGTGTGTAGTAAAAGCTGCTGTGGGCTGTAGCTTCTTGACTGGGCGCTCACTGGCTGGGCGGTTGCCCAAGCGTCATATGGCTTTTTTTGTAAGCATGACTAATATAATCAAATGGCCAACGCGACTGTGGATATGGCGTCGAAATTTTTGGCGACATGCCAATGAGTTTGGCAAATGCGAGTTAAGCAGCCCGACGACAGATAACCTTAAACAAAATATGTATAATGCCGCGCGGCGGGGGCGTCGGCATGTGTTGATGTCGTCACAAAGCAAAACGAAAAGCCTGGTGAATCATGCAGCCGGCAAATGTTTGCCTTCCGTAACGCATTTATAGCCCTCTTGGCATGTGACAAATGACAATGTTACCAAAAAAAAAACAGAAACAGAAAAGAAGAAGAATATAAACGACGGAGAGTACAATGAGCAGATGTCTCAATTGTTATTGGCAGGAAGTTTAGCAAGTTTAGCATGGGCATCGGTATTACCCGATATTATGATTAAAATTGTAAAAGTTTGCAACGGTTTTTGTTTCTGTTTAGTAATGATAATTTAATATGGACCTGGTGTTCGGCTTTGCAGCTGGCAGCAGCTGCAGTAGTCTCCATATTATTTATTAATATATAGATATATAAATATATATATGCAAGTAGCAATGCCCTACGCCTGGCACGCCCGGCATCTAACGAATGAGCCATCATTAGTTGCGTTCCACTCATAAATCATACGCACCCTGGCGCAACATTCGCATAGCCGTGGCATGGAGTCGCCGGTCAGTGTATGCACGATGGACTGCACTCTTAATAATGTCACGTAGCAGAGCTTTTGACAGCTAAGTGCCGCACACTTCATTCGCATCCCGAGGTAACGCTGGCAATTATAATGGACAGGCTGTCAGCTCGTGAGTACTTGGATGCAATTAGCAGAGCTTAAAATAAATAAATAGCAAGAGGAACAATTGCGCCGTTAGATAATGCTGCGATAATTGAATCAGCTTGAGGAAGTATCCCTAAAGCCGACTAGTTGTAGCCAAATTTAATTAAAAGTATAATAACTTTGCCAGATTGCAAATTTAATTAAAAAATTGTGTCAGTAGCAAATACAAAACGTTTTGCTTGTTGTCTTGATTTAAGGCAAAGCAAATCTGCGCAACAAGCAAGGCGCGAATGTCCTTGCCAAGATGTTTTCTGCGTTCATTTTCGTATGCTTGGGCAAATGGAGTGCAAATTATGCCGGAAATACGCCAACGGCAACGCGCCTACCCACAGCTGCTCTTGCTCTTGCTCTTGCCACAAACCGAATGCAACGCAAATTTTGCCAGCACAACACGTACTACTACTTGCCGCTACCAGATAAAACTTGTCGACATAACTTAACTGCGGCTGGCACCCGCGGCCCGCCCCTGGCCCATCGCTAGTCCGGCCCTGGCTCGTCCCTGCCCCAGCCCCGCTCCCAGCTTAAAATCTAATGTTTGGCGCGTGGCGACAGCGCTTAAAAGCGTCGCCATTCTGGATAGTCGCGTGTTCCTGAACGGCCTTGCAATGTTGCTCGGTTTTATATGTTAGTTTTTTGGCGGACTTTGGTAGCCTCTTTGGCTAAGCACATATAGCCGATGTCTTGTTGCGCATTTTGTCGTGTGCCACGGTCAATGCTCGGGACGGACATTGTCGGCCTGACGTCAGCAGCCCACGCAGAAATGTAGCAAAACAGAAAAATAGCAATGCTTCAACTCCGCCCCTTTTCAAGGCCAAACAATGGGCGCCAGCACTTGTGTCGCGTGACGCAAAGAGGATATTGAGTTTTCTTTTGGGCGTCTTAAGCTAATTTCTATACTAATCACGTGTTTATAAAGCCAATTAAAGTTACCGTTAGAAAGCTTACATATGAAAGCTTTCACTTAGCAAAGACATCAACCAGAAAAAGCAAAAGTTATCTGAGTGGACAAAGCAATAAACGAGGGTCGGTTCAAGACTAGAGCAGTGGCCTGAAGTGGGGCGTCAAATAAAAACCTTTTGCTGCATTATTTAAATACTTTTAAAAGATTATAAAGTATTATTAAATAGATTTTCGGATCCTAAATTATCCATTAACATAGGATATTCACTGACTTTTAAATTTCTTTTATATCTATAAAATGTTTAATTTAAACAGCTTTAGCCTTTTTGTTTCATAATATAATTGACAAATAGTCAGCTGATAAGTTCTCGTAATCAATAATAACAAGTTTTTATGATTTTTTATCATATTTATCCATTTATTTATATTCAAAACTTAAATGGGCGCGGGTTATTGGTTCGTCGATCAGTAAAATGTTAGATTAACACATAGATTAATTAATGCACATTCTTGGCGCTTTGACTAGAGTTCGAAAGGAAGTTGCGGTGTGCTGTCCAGGTCTTCAGATCCCTTCGGAGATCCGCTCAGAAACGTGTTATCTTGCTATGCTCCGGTGAGGGCGGCAACGAGCAAACGGACGAGCGCGAGGGACTCTGCTGTGGACGTGGCGGTGGACGTTGTGGATTGATGTTGGCATTGGCCTGGCGAAGATTGGCAAAGAATTGCTGTCGCCGCGGACCGCCGCCGCGCAAGGGCAATGTGGGTATCTCGCTGGGCGACTGATGGTTCATCTCCTCCTGCGAACAGTGGCGCATAGCAGGATTCACGCACTCATAAACACTCTGAAAGATGAACATGGCAAAAGGCTGTCGAACTGACTACAATACGATAACATACCTGCTCGGAGGAATACTGATTGTTTTGGGCAAAGGCCAAGGAGGTAAGCGAGGGCAGCGCCTGAGCAATATCCGAGCGTTCAATGCCGCGCACAATGAGGAACGTGCGTGGTATCAATATGCCCACCAGAACAGCCCAGCCGCTGGCCTGCAGGCCCAACGGTATGGCCGCATCCCGCCACTCATCGCCAAAGAGCGATAGGGCAATCCACACGGTCCAGATGATCAGTATGAGCACGCCGCCAATCACTATCAAGATTCCTTCACGGTAGTTGCGCTGAGATCGATAGATGAATGGCACCAGGCTGACCAGACAACAGAGCAGTAGAAAATCGTAGGCCATCAGGCCCCAGAGCCAGCGACCGTAGTAAATATTCTCGCAGGAGACGCTCTCCGAGGCCATATGCATAACTACCAGCAGCTGCACGGACATGCCCACCTGAACGAAAACGCTAAATATGCAAATGACCGCCTGGATGTAGCCGTTGACGTGGGACAAGAACCCGCCCTCGGACCCAATTGAGGCCAGCATCACAGCTCGGCACAGCAGCAGCGAGAAGACTAAGCAGTAGACGAGCGTCATGAGGAACACGCGCACTGCGCAGAGCGTATTCAGAGTGTTCACATCCTCGTAGGTGACATGCGAGTTGCGCTGTTCGCCCACATACTCCATAGAGAAGGGCACAAAGGAGCAGAAGACCAGGATGAGCGATAGCAGCAGTAGGATCGACGTCACTGGATTGCCCTCGAACACATCGCTCAGTGAGATGCGCACCACAATGAACACCAGAATGGCCAGCGTGGCGATCAGGCCGAGTATGGCTGCCGTCAGGCCCGTTGCCACCCAAGTGTCCAGTTTGATGCGCCAGAACATGACGCTCTCGCCATCGAAGACGAACGGATGGCGCCGATTGTCGCCCACTGTGTACTGGCAGTTGAAGACCAAACCGAATTTCGTCTTCAGCTCCAGGCTGGTGTGATTGTCTCGATTGTAGTGGTAGTAGGTGGTCACATTTGTCACAAAGTTCTGTGAGGCTATCTCGCGCAGCTCCATGCGCGACTCGCCCGTTATCACGTCTAGTGTTTCCTGTTTCTTCTGGTACATTTGAAAGATCATGGAGGTGGAGAGCTTGCGCATGCGCAGCAGCGCCAGCAGCTCCAGGGTGTCATGTGCCCGACGATACTCTGAAGTGCGCCAGTCCTCGATGAAATTGAGAAAGTTGAAACAGCTCTCGAGCACATACAGATCCTCATCGCGCTTGCAGTGCTTGGCTAGCGAGCCGCGCAGCCAGTTCATCAGGTCAACAATGGGGCTAGCAAAGACCAGGACGCGCGAGGGCAACACACTTTTGCCAACGAGCACCTCGTCGAGCGCTGTGGGCATGGGATCCAGGTCAATCGCCCGCAGTTCTATATCATTCTCCATTAGCACGAACGCCTTGTTGGGCAGCTCTGGAAAGAAGTCATTGGAAACTAACTCGGACTGGATGGCAGCTGCAGCTTACCCTCTAGGAATGACTGATCTGCACGCTCTATGGGCACGGCAAATACGGTGCCATTCTCCTTGAAGTGATTGGCCATCTTGTTGCCGAATAGTATGTAAACATTGTCGTCGCTCTTGAAGTGCATCAGACACATGTGCTCCTGCCTGGCGGCGTCCATGAACTCGTTGTATATATCTAAAGTTTCAGTCACGATCTCCACAGAGGCAGTCTTCTCGCCCCAGGGCATTTGATGCAGCAGATGTGCCACTTTGGGAAAGAGATGGGTCCGTGTGCTGGGTATGGGCCATACGTTGTACTCCAAGTCCCTGATAATCGGTTCGAGGCGTCTGTACAGATCGAAGTCTAGGAATATGCCCATGGAATACTGAGTGCACTGCTGCAGGTATTGCACCTCCTGTATAAGCAGGTTCTCAGCCAGGCTGGCATTGTCCACAGTTATAGCGCGGATGCCTGGTAGAGGGAATTTGTCACTTTATATCTTTTATAGCTGCTTTTGTGTTCGCTTTGCTTACCAACTTCAAAGTCAGCTGAGATGAGATTCGCCTGATTCACGCGATTGATAACAAAGAGCGCCGAGACGGGGTCACTGGTTAGCACACTGACCATAACGTCGCCCTCGATGATTTGCACTAGCTCTGGCTGCTTGCGCACCACCTGCTCTCCGTCCGCATTGGTTAACGTCAGTTGCAGTCCAGTGATGCAAATCTCAGGTACCAAGCTGCCCGCTGCAGTGGTGCTGCTGCCATCGTCTGTGATGGCACTGCTGGCGCTGCTGGCTGGGTCTTCTGTTGTGGAGTATATTAGAGGCGACAGCAGCTCTCCAGTGGTGCTGCTCTCGTGGGTCGTCGGTGGTGCAGTAGTGGTGCTACTGATTGGTTGCGGTTTCGTTATGCGCAGCGGTGCTGATTTTCTGGTGGGCGTGGCAAGACCTGCCCCATGACAATGAGCTATGCAACTTAATGTGATGAACAGGTAGAATAAAGCTGCAAGGATTCCAATTAGTAAAGTGTTGATAGATCTTATTGAGCTCGCGAAACTTACCCCGTTGAGTGTTCGTCAAGCCTCCCATGGCGCCTGCAGTTTTGCGTTTTAAATATTTAAATTAAATACGAAATTCTCGCTTTATTTTTATGACTCGTTCAACATTTATGGACAATTAGCAGGCTTTTATTATTGCAATTAAAACAAGTTATCTATGAAAACAAAAAAACTATATTTAATTGTGGAAATTAGGGCCGGAAAGCAAAGCCAAAATAGGATTGAAATGCTCGGCGCTTGGCGAATCGCGGTGCATTTCTCTCTTTGTATACAATTTTAGCTTTTGCTATTTCGCTTTGCCTTCGGACTCTTCGGCAGAGTGTTGCACTTTAATCGCATTAAATATTGTCACACTAACACAGAGACGCACAACCAGCCACCCACCCACACACACCCTCACAGATGGGTAAACTTTGGCACAGTTGCCTTTCCGCTTCTCACTCGTATCAGTGCAAAGTAATGCGGTGGCAAATATTTTAGTTTTAGCTTTAGTTTTTCATATTTTCATTTTCGTTTTATTTCAGGGGGCTAGCGGAAAACGTGGAAAGTGAACACAGCCAAAGGAAAATCAATAGGTATTTTCTACGGAAATTGTTATGGCCAGCAATGATATTCCATGCAAATTGGCTTGTTAATAGGGCCGACTTTTCCTTTTTATTTCTTTAGCTTTATTTCACTAGAATCGATTTCTTTTTGACAACGTTTTACAGATGTATTTCAGTGTAGTACGGAATTCACAGTTGCTCTGAGGTTTCGTTTTTCCGTTGAACTATTAAAACACATAAAATATAAAAAGAACGCTTCACTGATTTTGGGGCCAATTAAACGTTTCTCGTTTTATATTTGACCACTGAAAGCAGAGCACAAAAACCATTCGATTCACACACACATATATATATATATATATATATTATTCTGATTTTATTTGCTTAACTTGGTTCTTTGTTATTTGAATATGGACAATCAATTTGTGTTGCGCCTACCAACGGGTGCAGCACTGCAACTGCAACCTAATGTGGCACAGCACAGACAATTGTTCACAAGCCGCGTCGTCTCGCAATTATGTTGTATGAAGCTTTGGTTCTATTTGTTGTATTTCTTTTTTGTAGTTTTATTCTGCTCTTTTGCGCTGGGTTCCCGAGTTTCGTCAGCCACCCTCGTAATGTTTTGCACCTGTTATTTTAGTTGTTTTGTTTTGGCCAACTTGGCTTGGGCCTACAACAAGCGTTCGTTGTTATGGTTATGCGCTCAAGCTCGGAGCCGCACTCGTCTCGATATTTGAGTGAAAAGTTGCTCATAATTACAAAAATCAACATTTTGTGACGTGTTTGAGCTGTGCTAACCCCTTTCCTGTTGGTCTTGTGGCCTGCCGTCTGAAGTTTGAAGTTCAAACATTGGTCATCACAATTAGGCGGCTGATTGAAGCACGTTTTGAGTTACACGCACGCACACTGCCGTGTCGAGGGGGTTGCACACGGCCTACGTACTGAACACAAATGGCTGCCAGCTACAATATATAAGCTACAAAGTTGAAATTTATTTTGCCAAACATTTTCATTTTATCTGGTTAGCAATCTTACAATAAATTTTCATATTTTTTAAATTTTTTAAACTTCTTAGTTATTATTTTTTATGATTTCAATTTGGCATGACTGACTGGCTTCATCTTATATTAAGCCGCCTGAACAGAGTGCTGGGACAGTTGAGAAGGCAACTTAAAACAGAAAGAACTACTCAATCAATTATTGTAATTAATTAATTAACTAATTCTTCATCATTTTTGTTGGCTTTTCCCCATCTCTCTTCTGTTGCTTAGCAGTTAAATTAACTTAAAATACAAATCAGTTTATCTTGATTATTTCAACATTTTTCCCTCTCTGTTTTCACATCTGTCTGCTGTTTTTAATTCATTTCGTTCTGCATAAAGAAAAGCTTATACAAATATGTGCTGACAAAACCCGCACAGTCAATGCAATTTGTATATTAAACTATTATTGGATAGAATAACAATTTACTGAATTAAATACACAAGCAGCTCTTTCGTGTCTCTGTATATATTTGCGCAATATATATGCGGAATATAAATAGTTTTTGCTGCATTGGTTAAGTCCTTGACAAGTGTCCATGGAATAAGGCCAGCAAAGCGGGTTAGAATCCCCCGATGGGACATTGACATTTCTGGGCGCGCGTTTCCGGCTTAGATTGTTTTGCATAACACTTTTAATTAATGTCAACACGAAAATGCAGCTGCAGTCGAGGCGATTCACTTGGCCCCGAGGCCCCAATATCATTGCATAAGTTTAATTTTGTTGCACGCCCTGTGCGCCCCTCCGTCTGCCCGTCCGTCCGTCCATCCGCCTGTCTGGCTGTGTGTCAAAGAGCGACTTTGGGTGCTTTAATTACAGTTGAGCGAGCCAAACAGTTGACAGTATTTCGACCAAATGTTCAATTTGTTTATGCAATTTACAGCAGAGAATTGCGATATGCAACCGCGTTGATAGGCAAATAGCAAACGGTTCCTTAGTTAGTTAGTCATTCACTTCACAGTTAGTCATCCACTCACGCGACCACGACCACGTCCATATATCAACTGTTTTGGCTATAGAGCTCGCTGCTCTACGGCGCAGCCGTAAGCCCATAAAAATGCAAGAGCTCGCCTAAGGGGGCTGAGCAGCGGGCTGTTTGGTGGGCGTTTATGCATCCATGCTGCCATCCACTCACTTACTCACTCACTCACTCACTCAGTCAGTCGCTCACTCAGCCCTTCATTCGGCTTGTAATTATGCCCAGTTTTGGTGTCAGCTCTCTGGGCTTAGCATTGCATTCTGTGCAGTCAATATATTATGCAGTTATTAGTGACACCAAAGGGCATTGCATACCAAGTTACCTCACTCTATGCTGCATATGGGTCAGCAGTAAGTACCTACTAAGCAGGCAGCGGAAATGCGCTTTGAAGATGGCTGTCAAAAGCAAGAACACATGTCAAACACTGCTCAAACAATGAGCCGAATCTAGGTGCCTTCTATGGGTATAACTACAAAGTGCCAGGTAAACTAGGAATTGTGAGATTGTAACGTCTTCAATGACAGTCATTTAGAATTATCTTTCTCTTAACTTAAAACTCGTTGATAATAAAATTAATCATTTTGAATGTGAAGAGGGTTCTTAGCAGAGAGATGTTCCACAGACTAGAACTATTCCTTGGACATCTATTTGAATAGCAAAAAATAATTTGGTTTTTTTTTTGTTTTGTATCATTGTAATATTGTATGCACAGTAACCTTTTATTGTCATATATTTTCCTGAGGCAATAAAACAAAGTCACGCATTGAACAAATTTCTTTCAGTAAAATATATCCAAATCGTTTTTTTGTGGACCCAGGCGCCTGCCCCCCGCTTAGCACTTGACATTTAAAATTTTGCGCGATCCAAATAAAAGTTAACCACAACGCAAGATGTTCTCAGGAAAATTCAGTTGGATGGTTTTGTTTTGCTCGTCTTTTGGCATTCGTTCAGTCTTTGGATTATTGACCATCGCCGGCACCTTTGTTTGAGTGTTGGACTGGGAGTTTAAGCCTGGATGATTGCAGCGGAGCACGGGCTGTGGTGCTGCCTGAAAATTTCACCTCGCTGTCGTCATCACTGTACGAAGACATCTCATCGGAGCTGTACTGAAAATTGTCAATCTCAATCTCGTCCATACTATCAACTGGTGTCTCCGCCTCCATGTCGATAGCATCAGCTGGAGGAGCACTAATTGGCATAAGTGTCTTTGTCTTGGCGTTGCTGCATGCCTTATCGACTGCCAAGCTATTGGAGCCGGAGCTTAGCTTCTCACTTAGCTCCATGTTACAGAGGCCAGTCTTCGAGTTGTACTTCGGCTGCTCTTCTTTCATATCACTAAGCTGCATCTGTGTGCAAAAGCGTTGTATTTGCCCCAACACTTCGCGAACACCCAGCTCCGAGGACTTAACATTGACGCTCTGATCCGATGACGATTGGTGGTCTTCCGTCGGCTGCTGGTGTGATGACTTCGAAGTGCTGTGACATGCACAAGGATTCTGCTCTTTGACGCATTCGTTTGGTGCTTTCTTCAAGTTGGCGTAACCCATTTTTCTGCCCGTCAACTGCTTGCCGGACTTCATATTGAAGGCAGCTGCCTGCTTGGAGACTCTTGTGGTCGTCATCGTTGTAGGCTTTGGATTGGGCAATGCTGGAGCTGGGGCCACTTTTGCAGACATCTGCTTGCCGGCAGTCAGTGACTGCTGTTGGTAAAACATCTTATCATATTCAGATTTCATGCATAGATACCGAAAGTGACGGGTATTCTCTTCTCCATAGTGCATTACCTCTGCGTAAGGATACGTGAGATGTTGGCCCTAAAAACAAACTCAAACAACCTACTGTTGGTAACCTCTGCTTGTAGTTTCCCCAAGTTGTCATTGGTCATCTTTAATTCATTCGAAAAGCGTTCCATTTTGCTAGCCAAGTCGCGGAAATTCCGCGATATCACCTCTGAAATAGTAGTCTTTAAGAAGAGAGATTTATCAAGATGAACTAGCTTGGACTTATCTCAGCCCTGAGGCATATGTGTACTTACTCCAACTGCCTTCCTCACGGTCTGGCGTATAAGCTCAAAGAATTCCTCAGGATCTTCATCCTTCTCCTCCTCCTCCTCGGTTACAACAGGCCTCTGCATGCCGTTACGCTGACGCAAATGTGGCGGACCACGCTGATGATGCAGCTGCTGCTGCTGTTGCTGCTGCTGTTGCTGTTGAAACATTTGTTGCTGCTGAATTTGTAGGTGATGTTGCTGCTGATGTTTCATATTGGAATGCGAATGTTGATGGATTTGCTGCATATTGGTGTGGATACTGTTGTTGCTCGGCAAGTGCTGCTGCTGATGTAGCTGATGCTGTAGGGGATGTTGGGGATGTTGGGGATGTTGGGGATGCTGCTGACTCGGTATCTGATGCGAATGGCCATGTGACCGTCGTCCGTGCATCTGATCCTTTTCCGAAAGCTCCGTTGCATTGGGATCGATTTCAGAATTCTGCCCATAGACCGTGCGCTGAGTCAATTCCAGCGGCATCGCCTTGGCATATGGATGATTGTGTAACTGTGGATGTGGGTGGCAATTGGCCTTGCCTTCTGTGGGCACAAAATGCACCTTCGTCTGCTGGACGGGTAGCGGCTGCCGTGAACTAGCCTTGTTTCGTCGGTTCGATATCGATCCATAGCTTGTTACCTGCGTGGACGCCGGCTGGAGCTGAACAGGAAGCGGAGGCTGCTTTGCAGGATGGCCCATCACGGCACTGGATGCCGCACGCATATTGGTGGCATTCAACGGTACATTTGTAGTAATATAATAATCATTGGCAGTAACATAACTGCGCTGAGTGCGACTATCTCCTTGGCGTGAGGAGTTCACACGCATTGTGGCTGTCTTAGTCATCCCCGGCTGCGGAATGGCTTGCAGTCGGGCCGGCTGCATCGGCTCCAATTTAGTGCCATATACCTCTTCAATGGGCTTACGTCGGTTAGCGCGCACCATCCCCAACAATGTACCTATAAATATTTGCAATGGAATTCCAACTTACCGCCAAAAGGTAAAACGTAATTTGAAATGCAAAACAAGATCTCCTTGTGGTATTCTCATCAATAAAACCCTTTTTAGGGTCTTGTTCATACACAAAGCTCTTGTTACTTGTAAACTAAAATATTGATAAATGTAAAAATTTTTTATTGTTTTGCATTTGTATATATCCAACTGACTGCTAAGGCTAAATGATTTGACATATTCAAAAAGTGGCCTTTCGATGCTCCATTCAGCGCCGCCTGAGATTCCGAATCTTCGCTTATTCGCTGAGGAACGTAATTGAGAAATCAATTCGTTTTGGAAAAATATAATAACTAAAATATAACACCTTAAATTGAAAATAAAAATGAAACGAAGCCATAAATCAAATGATTCCAGTTTCATTATCAATTGGATCCACATCGAACTTTCGGAAATTCTAATTAAGCCAAACACTTTGGCTGTGTGAATTTGTAGCTATTTTTGCTGGTTTATTTGCAAAGCCAATGACATGAGACTAGGTTCAATGTTTGCTGTCAGCCATTTTGCCGGAAATGTTTGTTTGATTTTACCAAATCAAAATGCTAATGAGCTCAGTTGCTTTGGTGCTTGGTGCTTGGTGCTTGGCGCTGGCGCTTGGTGTTGGGCTCTGATTGCGATGTTTAAAGCGGTTTGCTTGCTTGGTTGGGTCACATGGATTTGCGTAGATAAATAAGTGCGCACAAATATGTGCAAGAAATTTATCAGATTATTTACCTTTGAACTTTGTGGGTAAGTATATATATATGAGTGTTGCGGCTCGTCGCATTCTGGACGCTTTTGGAATTTTTAATGCCAGTCTAAGTGCTACACTTTCGACATGATAGCTTTAAGGCAGTCAAATTCGAAACATCATAAAATGCCTTGGGCTACAGACGCCCAAGATTTGAAGTGAGGCTGCAACATTAGATGCTGGTAACGAAATTGGGTCAGCTGACTGTTGTTGGGTGGGCTAGTTGCTGCCTTGAGTTGCGTTGAAATCAAAACCATTCCACATGCGGCACCATTTTGATTCTTTGCTCATTATGCAAATTGCGCATACGACGTGTTCGCTGCTGGGCTACTGCTGGGCGCCGAACTATCACGCACTTCTGTCTGTGCATATAATATAGTTGGCTAGCTGTTGCATGCGATAAGCAAGGCCAAGATCTACGCACATCCACAATAAGGCTTACAGTTACTTCAAGAAAAATACGCATGTGCAATAAAAATAAATGCACTCTTACGCTAGATATTTATGTATTATTTACTGAATTTGTTAGTGAACTATTATCTGTATCTATGCTATTTTCATTAGCTCAAGTTGCTCATAATGTGAGATCTTGTAAATGTTATGTGTTCCAATGGAGACTTCATTGGGCTAGCATACTTTATACTCAAACTGTTGCTGATGCCACAGTTGTGTACATATATAGCGTTCAGTCAAGCATTGCCAACAACAGTCAGCAATTTGATGACTTGTGATTATCAATGGCACGCTGAAGCTGGCGTTGGGTCGAATGCAATGTGGCTGCCGACCTGCAGTTGACCACAATGACCGTTGTCTGAGGCAATGCGGTTGCCTGTTGGCCTGTTGCCTTGCACAATCGTTCACTTGCAACTCAACTCGTTTTGTACATCATCATCACACTTCCATGCATGGTCTCCATTGGCTTATTTGCATATGTCAGCTGCAGCTGTGCCAGCGCTAAGCATGTGTGCAGACATTATCCTTGTCATACGAAATGCTCTTACTTATTATAATCAGCTTGAGTTCCTGCAATGGATTGCTGATTAGATTTGCTAGCTGTGTGGCTAAATTAGCTGTTGTTCTCTCTGGAGCGAGATAAGTGTGACACGGGCTGACCCGCACGCGCAGGCATTTAAATATATATTATTCATAAATGGTCATAAATAACGTCTACTTAATTTTGTGTTGCGAAAAGCGCATTAGACAAGCTTAAGGCACCAAAACTCTCATGATTCCAAGTTTACACCATAAATCCAACAGAATGCGTACAAAATATCTCGAGCAGTAATTTGTCGCGTGTGAAGTCTTAACCAAAGCAAATAAATAGGTACATGACTAATATTTATATATATATATATATATACATATATATGTATGTGCTGCCCAATTAGCAAGTGGAGACACATGCGAGACTCTCACAGATGCATAAATTTATCAGATGTCACCAAGATCAACAAATTTATCTTCACGAAACACCTACGCACAACGACGAATCACAAACATATTTATTTTTCCATTTTCTATTTATTTGTAATTTTAAAAATCATTTTACGGGGTCTCTTGTTCATAGGAATATTTTAAAAATTTTAGATCTATAAATATTATATTAAGAGTATTGAAAAAGAAATCTTTAAACAATATAATATAGAATACACAAGCACACAAAATATATACATCGAAGTAATTTCCTTATTTTAAAGCATTTATTGCACTTGCAATTATCATATTTTCTGAAGTTAATCTCTAGGGTATGGAAAACATGACGCCAGCCGTACTTATACCCATGGATAGTGTATATATTTTACAAGTTCTTTGGTATATAGTCTGCTCGTGTGTGTGACCGAGAAGTATATAAATTTACGTGTTTATAGTTGTTTAATTTAAGCGCTTTTTATTGTTGTTCGGCTGTTGTTTAAAGCATTGCCACTTGACAGGCGAACATGACGAGTGTCGGCATTCATCGCCGTAGCTGAAATTGTAGTCTCATTTCTCTGTGCTTTATGACTAAATGTGCGTAATAAATAAATACAACAATAATAAATTTACCATCCGAATATTAAGCGAAAAAACGAATGCTGCCAAAGTTTACGAATTGAGTTAAAATGCGATATTCATAAACGCAGCTGTTGCCATTTTATATGCAATAACAAATTGCTTTGTTCAACTTTGATTGTGAACGATTATTTGTATTTTGATGGCTTTTTGTCATGCATTCACAATTCGAATTTGAAACAAAAGCAATAGCAGCTGGAAGTCTGCTGGTACCATATCACTAAATTTATGGTTTTATGTTTTGACTATAAGATCGTTTTTACTGATCTTTCGCTTGCTCTGCATGGTTTGTCTTGAATGAAATTAAATGCGTTGGTATTTGGGTCAACATTTTCGCGTCTCTCAAATCAATTAAGCTCATAAATATAAATATGCTCGAATAAAATCAGAAAAACATGACGAGCTGCGAAATGTTTCACAAAAATATGAACGAAACTAAATGTTTACATTTTATTTTTACGATCATTTGCCACATAAAACGTATATCAAGATGTTTTCATACATTTTTCCAATTAACAACACTATAATTAGAAACCTAAAAAGGTCTCATTTATATTCAAAAATTTTTAATTCTAGTTCTTTTTAATAAATGTTTGTTGTTTGAACAGTGTTTGACCACAATTTGATAAGAAAGCTTTCGATGTTGCACAGCATGTTGCTAAGCGAAAAGCTTGCGCATGTTGCTAGACAGCAAATGTTGCTGGCAAAGTGGACAACTTAATTAAATAGCCGAATTATTACAAATATTAACTGAACACTTGAAGCACTTAGCGTGGCAACGCGTATCCTCATTATAAAGTGCAGTGGCAGCCACTGACGTGCAACATTCAAGTGCAGCGGCAACATGTAAACGCGCAACATGTGCGAAAACCAGTTTAGCAACATAAACAAAAAACAGCTGTTCAGATTACTGCCTCAATTTCTGGCGCCGGCAAAGCTTTCTGAAGTGAAATCAAGCAACGCATGCCGACGTCGACGTTGCACAGTGGTTTCAATGCGTTGAAAACAGAAAGCATTTTCATAAATTGATTTTAATACTGGAATAAGATATTCAGCTAAAAAAAAATTTCATTTTATATTTAAGAATTTTATATTTATTAAAAATAAAAACAAATTTTCTCTATTAATATACAAAAATAATGATAAAACAACAAGACAAATTTAATACTTAAAATAAATACTAAAATAATAATTATATTTTAAAGAACATTTAATAATAACAGTATTAGTTTAAAATGCATAAATATTATTTTAAATATAACAACAAAAAATATTTTTGATAAAGTGAAAAGGTCACAAATAATATATGCCAAGCGATAAAAAATAAAAAAAATATATTCTAAAGTATATTTAATAATAACAATGTTAGTATAAAATACATAAATATAATTAAAAAATATAAAAAAGCACAAGTGAAATTTAGGCAACACAAAATATTTTTGATAAAGTGAAAAAGTCAGAAGTAATTCAAAGTAATTTTCTAACTTTCTTCTGCGGGTCCACTGTGCTTTGATGCCGGCGGCAGCAGCAACATCGGCAGCAGCAGTAACAGCAACAGCAACAGCAAACAGGAAAATCCGCACGACGATGCCACACACCAGTTCAGTTCAATGCGAAATTGTGAATGAACCAGACGGCGAATAGCTTGCGTCCCGAAGAGCCAAGACTCTTTTGTGCGGAATTTCGCGAAGTATTATTTGTAATAGATACAACTGAAATGTGGTTGTGTCTTATGCTGAACACTTAAGTTGAGCCACAACCTTCGGCAAGTAGCAGACGAGCAGCCAAGTGCAATTGACAATTGGCAATTGGCAGCGGAAGGATAGTTGCTAAAAGCTAATTGACCACAACAAGATCAAGATTTATGCGCGCGAGCGATTTGTGAAACGTGGCCAAAACAAAAAAACGGTGTCAATTGAAGATCGAGTGTCGCTGCAAAGCGCTTTGCAACAAGCTTAAAAATTAATTGGCCAGCTCGCGTGTGCATCGTGCAGACAGACCACAGACAGACTGCAAGCTGCAACTCGTCAAAAGCCTCTATAAAAAGAAGAAGAAGAAGAAGAAGCAACATTGTACCCCAAGTGGCAACTAGTGAAATTTTCGTGGCAAAATTTACGAAATTGAAGTGCAAATCACAACTTGTTCGTGCAAATTGGCGGCACTTGTTTAACACTCCCGAACTCAGACCCAATTGCAATTGCAATTGCAAACTAAAAGCAAACACAATCCTAACTGCAATTGCAATTGCAATTGCAATTCATGCCACGGCAAATAGTTGAGTGAGTATTGCGCAATTATAAGCGCTGTGCCTTGGACTCAGATTTGGCTATTAAGTATCTGTTCAGTTTATACATATTTAGTTGACAGTGATAAATCTTAACATTTGCATTTGAATGCAAATGCCGAACGCAAAGTCATTCAATTTATTTCAATTATTGCCACATAGTTATTTGAGTATGTCTGCTTCGCAGTAGATTTAATTAATTCGCCTTTAATGTTGTCTACAGCTCAAAGTAATTTTCCAAATTTTCGCACTATGCACTTGGATATAAATCATGTCAGATTGCTCATTGAAATTTCCATATGCATTTCGGGCTGCAAAAACTTTCATTTGAAATTTATGTGCGCGTTTCCCCCAAAAGGGGAGTGGCACAAGTGGCGCATATGGCATTTCTGATCAAATACGCATATACCAATTGTTGTTATAAGCGAGATTCTGTGGAATTCCGCAGCTAAGTGCGAAATGCAATATGCCAATCTGCACGAATATCAAATTAAATTTGGTTTACATCATTTTAAATACTGTCTGAATAAATAAACTAATTAATTTAATGCCATCTCTTCAGCTACAATTAACTTTTAATTGCAAGTTACAAGCATTTATTTTCAAAATAAATTTGATATGTGTAATGTACATATTATATATGTGTATATGTCAATTACTCATTGAAATTGAAGCAAATTTTCATTGGAGTTTACAGAAAGTAGAAATTGTCAGTAGTCAGCAAATTAAAAACTTTTCAATTTGAGTTAAGCTGGGAAATGGCTGAAAATATCCTGCAAGGAGAGAAATCAAATGTTAATTGAACAAGCCATGGCAAAGTTTCCTCAACTTGGTGACAATTTGCAGTTCATTTGGCCAGACAAAATCAAATAGTTTTCCATCTCTCAGCAGAACTGTGAAAAGCTGTGGCTTGCACAGTTCTCAAACAAAATCGAGCAGAAACATTCCACACTGCAGCCGTTTCGAAGGCCTTAAAAATAGCTTGGTAATCAATTATGCATAAGTAATTAATGGATGATGGGCAGCGCTGCTAAATACCAAAAACTTAAGCGTCGACGATAAGGGATCTATAAATTTCTAGTTCTTAGCTGCGTGGAGTCAAAGACAAATTAAGGATACTCCGCAGCTTCCAGCCACATGCAGAAATGGCAGTAAATAGAAAAACTTTGTAGCCACCCCAAAGTTGGAAGAGGAAAGCAAAGTTCAAATGTCAGTTATGGGTAGACCGAAATTCTAACCCCCAGACCGAGCTCTGTCGCTCGCCCTGGCCCCTATATCATGTGTCTATGTGGGTCAGTTCGGTGTCCAGATTGTGATTGATCTGCGTTTAATGCCATTTTGTTGTTGAACGGAAGCGTAAAAATGGTTCGCTTTGAGCAATGACACGCACAAATCTCTGCCCCGAGGTTTTTTTTTGGAGTTGGACATCTTGAGTGCCAGCCTGAGTCAGTGAGGATTGGCGAAGCTGCTATGCGATACACATGCTCGACATATTTATGAAGTTGTTAGCTGGACGGCGTTGCGCACATGCAATACGCTGCTGGCAGCATATGCGATGCTGTCCTTTTAGAATCCACACACAGAATCACTTACACACGCACAACACAGAGACGGAGTTTTTGGGTTAGCTAATCATGTGGTTTTTTGTACAACATTCTGCCAAGGGTCTAAAGCGATGTCATATTGTGTGGCAGTATGTGGGCGTGGCCATGTGTGGAAATGTTGATAGGCTGTTCCCTGATTTACAGCAGCTGCGAAATGCGCATAAATATGTCATCAAGCATGAAAAGTCGGGTATTCCCAAAAACGTTTGCGCCTCAATTACATATTACAAAATATAACATTTTATAGAGCGGAACAAATTCTAAAGAAAGAGAACTGTTTACCCTAAAGTATACAAAAAAGCATTCACTGCAGACAACAAATCAGATAAGTACGTTTCCCGGAACGCTCCACACTATAAAAGACATAACATAAGCTTGATAAGCAGCCATTCGAGTTGAAAAATTAAAGCCGAGCTGGGAGGCAAGTCAATTCACAGCAGCTATCGCAGTAGCTGAGATGTATGCAACGGCAATACCAGCCGGATCACGTCTGAACGAGCATAGCCCCGTACACACACTCAGCCACACTCAGACTCTTATTCCGACTTATAGTAATATGCTCATACGCATAAAGAAATAGGAATACGTGCGTGCAAAATTGCAAATGGTATTTGTATTTAACCATTTTCCATTTGCTTTGGCATATTTCAATTCTGTGATTTTCAATTTTCACTGCTTGAGCCTTGGGCTTCCATGTTTTTTCATTGGCATTCCTGGTTCTGTTGTTATGTGCTCTATTCAGTGCTTACAGCCTAAGTAGCTACTTTCGTTGGAAATATACTGCTATTTATGCCTTGCACAAAAATATCTTAGCAGTTGTAGTTTATTTTGTACCCGAATATATAATGATTTCTGAGCCAGAAAAGAAACTTTTTCAAATTCTTATCTAGTTTTTCTCCTGCTCCTCGGAAATTACTTGACAAATTTTACAAGTCATTGGCTGTACAACTGACTGACAAAAACAGGAAGTAGTCTATTATACAACCTACATCATTCAACAAACACACACCCTGTGTACAGAATATACAAACTGTCTGTCAGCTCGCTTCGCAGCTTCCGCTGAATCTTATTTGCATTCATAGAAATGGGCTCAACTTGAATCTGTCGGTGATTTGTGACACATAATTGAATTTTCCGTAGAAGCTACTTCTCAATGCTTTAAACTAAGTGTAGCTAATTTATTTATTCAGCCTAAGTCGCTTAAGAAATCGCGTAGAAGACTCCTTCAAAAAGGCTCTTTTGTGTTCTTAAATCATTTTTTTTAATTATTTTAAAAAGCAATTTTACGCCGTGTGCTCTGTTTATATACTCGAAAAATATTGATTGTAGCACAGCGAAATATTCCGAGAAATTTATTTTATTAATTTCATCAGGCACTTTGGCTACAATGCCACAAAATTCAAGGCGAATGGCTCCAGGCAGCTGACCAAAAAAATTTCAACATTTTAAATTAAGTTTTCTGCCATGCATTTACGAGCATCATGTATTTAAGGTTTTTTTCAATATATCTAATTGCTCTGTGACAATAGCAAAAGCAACGCAACACAAAATTGCCGCGACAAAAACTAAATCGAAAATGTAAAATAAATGCTACCAAATTTAGGACATTCGTGTTGCCAAAGTATAAAACATGTGTGCATGAAAATATATGCAAATATTTAAAACAAAAAAAATATAAACCAAATAATTAAAAAGACGAGACTACAAAATGTGTGTCAAAAATGGAACATTACAATAATGAAATTGAAATATATTTGCATAACAAACGTAAAATAGAACAAAGTATAATTGTATACACATTGATAAGGCTTTGTATAAGTTGAACACTTAGAAACTTTAATTCATTTACTTGAAGAATATTCTGTTAAAAAAACTATCGTATATTATGGTAAATTAAATTAAATTAAAATTAAAAGCATAATAAAATCCATTTCCATTTAACAAATTAAGAACTGTGTCTCGGTGACCCATTTCAAGATCTGAGACCATTTATCCAACCAAATTTAACCTTTTTGTATTTGAAAAAATTTTAAGGTCTGCTAAATTTACAGTAGAAAAGGAAAGTAAAGTCATTTATTAAATTAAAAATATGCAAATAAAAAAATTAAAATGTTATTGTTAAAGTAAAATTAAAATTTTTTTGTAGAAAATGAGTTTAAAGTTAGTTACAGAGGGAACCGCCTCATCCACAATATGTGAACTTTAAATTATAAATTATTATTGTTCGAGGTTATTCTTTGCATAATTTGTCAGTGGCTTAGTCAGCGCCTTCACAGAATTCGTGCGCCTTACTTAGCGAAAGTAAGAAAAACTGATTTATTGTGAAAAGTCTCGTTGAACAAAAAATTTGCAAAAATTACCAACAAGAAAAAAGAGGAAAATGAGGCAATAGAAGTGCAAGAAAAGAAAATGTTTTGAAAATCACAAGGCACTGCAAGAGAGGACTACATTTCACAGTAAGTAGATGCTGATGTTAGAGCAAAGGCAGCTCTGTGCCAGCTGTCAATGATTTGTTTCAACAATTTTGCCTGTCGTGTCGTTAAACGTACATAAATATTGTGATTACCAATAATGTGCCTTCTGTCTGTCTGCTTGTCTGTCTGGTTGTCCAATTGTCTGGCTGTCTACCTCGCTTTTTTGCCCCATCGTTTTGCTTTATGTGCTGTGCACGGCACTTTTTTAATGATGCCACCGCCACATTAATAGACGGCCGGCAGTCCCGGTGGGCGTTCGCCTCGCTTTGCTGCGGCTCGCACATTCGGCCCAACGCCGAGCACATGTCTTTAAGAGATGCCATTGCACGAGTTGTTTAATTTCGCACATTACGTGCAATTTATGTGCTCTTAACACTTTCTTATTTATCGAGAGCATTTGATGGCCGTCGCACAGTTCAATGCGTATTTAATTTTTATTGGCCATGCAATTATGCATGTGCGTAAATCGGGCGTCGTTTGACATTTCAATAATTTTATTTTTATTGTTATTGTTTCGCTATTGTTGGCGGTAATATCATATCGCTTAACCACTTTCGAAAGCCTCCCAGGGACCTCAGGCTGTGCGCGAAATGCAAAAGTAATTTATGTGATTTAAAAATATCACGAGTGCATTAACAGCCTCAGACGTTCAGTTGCCACTCACAGTTGTCAGCGTTAATCATGTGCCATGTGTGTCTCTGTGTGTGTGAGCCCACCCACTGGGAAAAAAAACCACTTGGCTTGCATATTTAACTCGTTTATGCTCACCACACAACGTGGCGTATGCGCATGCCGCACGTTAAGCACACATTTATACATAAGCATGAGCCATGCATATATAAGATAATATATATCTAACAAGTCACAAAGATCTAGCCGGGATTGCCCGACTACAAGATACCCTGCACCCGAGCAGCTCTGCATTTGAAACCCGAATTCAGGACAGAAATCGAACGTCAGTCTCCACGACAACAAATATCGCCTCCAAAACACAAGAGGTATGTGTTAAAAACAGAAGCTCGATAACATTTTTAGTGCACTTCAGTGCACATATCGATCAGTTGAACTCACCTACATAATTAATTTCAATCTCTACCTCTTATATAGTCAGATACATAATGACAATTAGACAGGACTACAGGTCTTTTTTCTGATAAAGAATTTATATACCATTGAGGTTCTGCTTGTTACACACATTTTATCCGAATCTTTACACCCTGAATTCGCAGTTAAATTGGGGCTCAGTTCATAAGAAGCGAAAACCGTTTTTGCCAACAGTCAGTTGGCACTGCCAAATGCTGTGCCTAGGGGCTGAATCCATTATTTCTTGTCATCTTTTTTTTACCTCTCTGCATATACATTAAGGGCAGTACTCACAAGCAGTTGAGGCAGAAAAAATATTTTAAATAATCTAAAGTAATATATTAATAGAAATAATTTCATGTTGCAAAAAAAACTATCAAATTGCTTAAAGATGTTTAAAACACTTATGCGAAAAGGGTAGGGAAATAGCGAGTGGCACACTGACTGCTTAATGCTTAAGCTACAAAGTAAAGATTGATTACAAGAGTTCATTCCAAGAATTTAGCTTGAGTATAACTTTTATTCCTATTTGCAGCTACCGCAACATTAAAGTCTGGCGCTGAGGTCATAAAGCGTTTGGCCTGCGTGACCAAAGACACAAATTCAAGTTTAAATGTCTCATAAATCTTGGCGCTTCCCAGCCAGTTGAGCAGATAGCCGGGGCTATAAGCCACGACATATTTCACAATTTTATCGCAACTGTGATTACAACACTTTTTTTGTTGCCTAATTGGGCCATGTGTGGGACAGGCTGTTCAGATAAGCGTGATGTATGTTAGCTGGCAGGTTGCCCGTGTGTGGCCTGTGTCGCCTGTGTCAACTGTATTGGAATTCTACTGTTTACCAGCTGGGCGAGGCCAATAATAAGCAATGTCAGCAGGAAAACCAACACGAGGCGACGAGTCGAACATCAGCAACATTTTGCTTTCGATAATAAAGCGCAGGTCGCAGTAATGATGAGTAAAATTACTGTCATGAGGCTCAATGGGAGGGAAAACAAAAACAGTGCGTCGCGTCACTGCAATGCAGTTTTCATAATTTGCCTTAAATGTGCACAAATGATGTCAGCGGCAGTCAAAAGAAAATCATTCTGTTCGCTAATGGAACGACTGCTCATTAACATGTTGCACGCGTTGCAAGTGTGGCAGGCAGTCAGTCAGTCATGCATTCAGGCAATCAGCCATTCAACCAGTCACTCAGACATGCTTTACAGCTGCCAACTCTCACAGCGGCAATGTTGCGAAAATTGCGTTTATTCCAAAAATGTTTTTACTTCCCAAATGCCGCTGTTGTTGAGTGACAGTTTGGCCAATGCTTAACTATAAATAACCTAACTACCTAGAAAAGGGTTTTAATGATTTTTGCATAGTTTTTTAATTTATTTTGTTTTAAATATGAATTTTTCAAATTTTTTACTTGATTTTTTTTTTGGTTTGCCCGTTTCGTACACTATTTTAAAATAATATTCCTCTCGCAATGCAAATGAACTGAAATATGGATGACACTCAAGTGCAGCCAGAGAATTGCATTTGTCATCTTTGGATTTAATCTTTGAACTCACTTGATCAGCTTTTCAGCTTTGCTTGTGACTTTACAAAATAAAAAGCTTTTAATTATTTTAAGACTATTCAATTAAGTAATTTACAGATGAAAATATTGGTAATTTGATCAAAATTATAATTAAATCAACGCAGACGCAATGCCCTGGATGCCTGCCACAAAGCCAACGAAAGGTTTTCACTGATTGTATTTAAACTCTGCAAAATAAATACCATTTAAATTTATTATAATTTCCCATTTAAATTTTAAATATACATTCATTATATGATTTCTAGCAGACGTCAATGCGAGTAATTGCATTAATTAATTGTGGATTTATTATGAAAAGATAGATATTGAAATCAATTAATATCTCGTTTTTGCGATTGTTTTTTATAACATTAAAAATGACTATCATTAATTGAGCTCCGACTCAATAATAGTGATATCATGTTAATACATCGATACAGCTAATTATATTTCGGCTGAATGGATATTTTTAGATACAAGATAAACGGAGGAGACATTATTATTTATAACTTTTGTTTTCGAACTCATTATTACGCTGATAATGATGTCAGAGACAGTGAAATTCAATAAGTCAGACGTTGTGCCTATAAAAATATATTCAAAATGTGTTCAAATTACCCCTTCAAAGCTGGCAGGCAGACGCGACTGCACGTCCGATACTCAATTCTATTTACATCTGTTTGATTTTGTCCATGAATAAAGTGGGGCAATCAAAGGTTAGACACTCACATACACCTGCATAAGTGGAGGCATGCAAACAGATGCGAGACCGCGCTAAGCCCACATGAAAGGAGTAAAATCTTGTGCAACGTCGTCGTCGCGTACGTGTCGGGCATAGGCAACAGCCTGAGCAGAAGAGAAGTCTAAGAAAAGTCAAAGCAGCTCACCGCAGGAGGCAAAAGACAGCACAATTAAGGAGCATCAGCCGCAGATGTAATATGCAGCAGCATCAAATGACGATGTTTTTTTGTTGGTGTTTTGGCATTTTGTTATAACTTTTTCTTAATGGCGCTGGTTGAATGTCATTTGCAGCATTCAAGTCTTTTATTGATTCGATTGCTCGACAAAAGCGAGACAAATTATTTTACACCTTAACGATTTGTGACATGTCTGGAACTTGGCTGAGTTAAAAACTCGCTGTTTGCCTGACTAACTCACCGACCAACTGACAGACTGTCATTGACAAAAAGCCAAAAGCTACACCGACCACAAAATACTCAGTATTCCCTTCGGACATAGCAATATACCAGCTGAAAAGTATGCTATAGAAATTAAAATATAATCTAACTCTTAAGACTATATATATTTGGAAGATTTATTTTTGTATTTTCATCTTACAAAGGCAATTTTAGATGTATATGTTTAATATTAATATTGTTGATAACTGAAGAAGCCTAAGACAAAACATTCATTTCTATATAATATACATACCTTAAATTATAACTGTCATCTAGGGTATTTAATGTTCACGACTTTGTCTTAGAATTCACGCCTTCTGATTTAAATTTTGTTCGTTGCCCGCACCTCAACTCGCTACCTCTGCCACTCTCTTGCCCTGTTCTCGCCCTCGCCCTGTTCTAATTACAAGCCTGCCAAAAAAGCCACCGTCTCACAGTTGTTCTGTCATGCCCCATGTAACAATGTACGCACATATATAGACGTATATGTACGCATTTGGCAATGCAGATTGAAACCTGTGATTTTTCTGATTTCTGCCCATTTTTGCTGGCTGCTGCTACGACTGTTGCTGCTGCTGCGGCTGCTGCTGTAGGCGTTGAGAGATCCATTTATCTGTTATTTGTAGTCGCTCTATATAGCTACATATATAACTGGGTCTTTGCTGTTGACTCGATGTTGTCTGTCACTTGGTTTGTTTGTACTTCTTTTTGCTGTGTGGCATCGCCCACGTTGCGTCCATTTCCTTTCGTGAGTTTTCAATTTCGAATTTGCAACTTTTTGTATATATTTATATATATATATATATATTCTTTGACTTGCTGGCCTGCAATCGCAACTTTTGTTTGCGTTTATTAAAATTGCTTTTCGGAAATTTACATGAAGTCCGCGACGGTAACAGAGCTGGAGCCGTTGACTGTGCCACTTCCTGGCGCAACACGTGCTGCCTTATTCAGCTTTTAATTAAATATCAGGCTTATTTTGAATCAAGCCAATCCAATGCACTTTGATTGAGCTGCGCGGCTGTTAATTGTTTGTACAGAGCGACAAATACGGTGCCAAGTTCGTTGACCAGTCACAGCAAAGGCAGCGCCGTCACAGCCAACGCCAGCACCCCGAACATCAGCAGCAACAGCAGCAGCAGCCGCAACAGT